GAACTATCTCTAAATAATAGATACCAGTTTATAGTTCTCTTCAGTCTTATATTCTTCTTTTCTAGCATAGTTTTACTATTTTTGTTAAAAAATTTTGTTTTGAAAAGTTGGTCCAAGTGATTGTCAGAAAGAGTTTTTTTTAAATAGCGGTTGTTTACCTGTGATTTTAATATCACCTTTATTTATTTCTATAATAGGTGGTTTGTCCTTATCTTCTTGTATAAGATAACTTCTTTTCTCTATAGGCATATTAAGTTTATACTTTTGCATCAATTCATCATCACCTTTCTTCTTTTGTAAGTCTTGTTTTTCTAACAACACTGGTTTCTCTTGTTTATACTTCATTCTTTCCCAACAGATAATAGGCATTTTATATTTATAGTTGCTCTATTTATATTCGAAAATTCTATGTTCTAAATTAATTTTTTCTTTAACTTTAGCTAATCAATCTGTTTCTATGATTACAGTATAGTTTCTTGCTTTAGTGACTTCTACATCGATAGGTATTTTTACTTCTTTAACTTTAATAGACAAGTTTTTTACTACTCCCAGCAGATGTTTTTTCTAGCCATTTACATCAACTAAACTTTTTACTGACAGTTTGTCTATATCTTTTTTAAAAACTTATGAGAGACCAGGCTTCTGCTAGATCTCATATTCAGGATTAGATAGATGGGGTACTAATCTATAGTAGTCTTACAATAGGTTACTTCTATAGGCTGTCCTGCATTTTTATATTACTATTTAAAACTAAAGATGATGACAAATCATTTGGTAATAGCTAGTCTAATAAACTAGGACTATTAACTGAGAAATCTATTAAGTTTTTATTTTCAGCATTCTTACCCTCACAAGAAGTGGCCCAGATTAGTTTAAATATTCTCTAACAGTATTGGAGATGGCTCTAGTTAGGTCTTCAGCAGATATGGCAAAGTAAGTTTGGTCTCTGTTATTTCTATTTTGGGTATTATTATCTCTGTTTTGAGTGCTACCATTATTTTGGTTAGGCTTGTCATAGTTTCAGGTTGAACTAGTTTAATCTTAATTATTTTCTGAATTTCTAGGTCTATTTGGCTAGTTGGCTGGTGAGTTACATCCTGTTCTCTGGCTATTATTGCTATTAGTAATACATTTTTTATAAGTGGGATATTCTTTGTAAAATGGCCTTGATCTCCATATTTGTAATAGCCATTATTAGAGTTTGAAGAACGAGATTAATTGGAGTTGGGTCGGGTGTGCTGTTTGTCTGGCTTGTAGCTAAGTTTTCATTTTTATTCTTATTTTGTATTAATATTCTCATACTTTGCACCATTTTAGAAATAGCTTTTTTTAATCTATTTATTTCATTATTAACTAGGTTTTCTCTATTTAGATAACTTCTTGTTAAGGAATAGGGATCTCCTCTGGAGTATGTGGCTTTTGTAGCTTTGGCTTTCTTTAGAGCTGCTAAATAGTTATAGAGCACTCTATTTCTACTAGTTCTTTAAACTACTGTCTTAGCCCATCAATAAACTGTCTGATTCGATCTACTTGCAGATATTGTTGCAAGGAGTTGGCTTTGTGATAAAGTTTTTCTAATATATCATAGTATTCATCTACTGTTTTGCCTAGCCCTTGTTGTCTAGACCGAAGTTTGAACACCTATCAGTTCTGCTAGTATATTGTGCAGAACTGTTGTTGAAACAGATGGATAAAAAATTGATGCAGGTGGGTGTAGTTATTCCAGGCCCAAACATTATGTGCTTTGCTTCTCCACCATGTATAAGCCATCTCTTTTAAGTGCAAAGATAGGATGTCAAATCTCCTTTGTTCTGAAATGTGATTGGCAATACACACCTCATCAAATTCATCTAACTATGTAAGTAGGTATTGGTTACCACCACTGAAAATTAAAAACTTAACCACTTTAGCCTCCCAAAGGTGATTGGCATTATTACTCATAGCAAGTATAAAGTTATTTATACTTTGTAATAATTGATCTATTAGGTTTATTGCTGTAGCTCTGGGAGCTAGTTGAAGATATGGTTGAGGCTGTTGAACAGGTAGTGGATTTTGTCTTGGAGGAAGGTTTAGTAGTTAATTAGGTCATAAAAGTTATTGGTATCTGCTAGTATATCATCTTTGGGGTGGTGGGGTTTGAGCAGGAGTTGGAGAAGTCTTTGGGGTAGTAGGCTATTAACTTCGAAGTAGATATAAGATATTTGCAAGAAGTGGTTATCTTCTGGCCAGGTTTCCAGTTCTAACAGGTTTACAAGAGGGTTGTTTACAACATAGGGTCTTTGGTATCTGTGGGCATAGGTTTTTTTAGCCCTTTGATAGAGATATCGGTCTTTATATTCATTTTGATGATTGGTACTTCCGTAGAGGTTATCCACCACCACATAATACAAAGATAAGAGTGATAAGAAATCTTCTGAGTCATGGACTATGATTTGTTCATCAATATTGTAATCATCATTATTCAGCTAAATTTGGTAAGGGGTTGGAGAGGAATAAACATATTAGATTTGTTGATCTTCCAGTACTTCTGATAATTTTCTGGGCTTCTCTAAACTAATCAGGTTATTTTCATCCTTTTTCATATTTTGAGATTCAGGTCTGATATCTTGATACTCCAGGTATTTTTGTCTTCTTGCTATGATAGCTACAAAAGTCTCAGCTTGGGAGCTAATTGACATACTTATAACTAGAAGTCTGATCTGATGAATACTATATTCGAATATTCACTGAATATTCGAATATTTAATTTATTCACCAAATAATTTATTGAATATTCATTGAATATATACAGTATATATATATATATATATAAATTATCTAATTAACTAACTATAAATTTATTGATTAGTAGGTATAAAATTTTTTAAATTAAAATATAAATCTATAA